CACCCTAACTATTACTACTGAGGAGCAAGTTTGATCCTCCCATACAACATAAATAACCCAACAAGGGTTGACATCACGTCCTGAGGAGCAGGTTTGATCCTCACAAAAATTCAACATAAAATAACCCAACAAGGGTTGACATCACGTAAAATCAACCACCCTAACTATTACTACTGAGGAGCAGGTTTGATCCTCACTCGGTGTCCCATACAAAATTCAACATAAAATAACCCAACAAGGGTTGACATCACGTAAAATCAACCACCCTAACTATTACTACTGAGGAGCAGGTTTGATCCTCACTCGGTGTCCCATACAAAATTCAACATATAATAACCCATTAAGGGTTGACATGACGTAAAATCAACCACCCTAACTATTACTACTGAGGAGCAGGTTTGATCCTCACTCGGTGTCCCATACAAAATTCAACATAAAATAACCCAACAAGGGTTGACATCACGTAAAATCAACCACCTAACTATTACTACTGAGGAGCAGGTTTGATCCTCACTCAGTGTCCCATACAAAATTCAACATAAAATAACCCAACAAGGGTTGACATCACGTAAAATCAACCACCTAACTATTACTACTGAGGAGCAGGTTTGATCCTCACTCGGTGTCCCATACAAAATTCAACATAAAATAACCCAACAAGGGTTGACATCACGTAAAAAAAGGTCAACCACCGTAACTATTACTACTGAGGAGCAAGTTTGATCCTCACTCGGTGTCCCATACAAAATTCAACATAAAATAACCCAACAAGGGTTGACATCACGTAAAATCAACCACCCTAACTATTACTACTGAGGAGCAGGTTTGATCCTCACTCGGTGTCCCATACAAAATTCAACATAAAATAACCCAACAAGGGTTGACATCACGTAAAATCAACCACCGTAACTATTACTACTGAGGAGCAGGTTTGATCCTCACTCGGTGTCCCATACAAAATTCAACATAAAATAACCCAACAAGGGTTGACATCACGTAAAATCAACCACCCTAACTATTACTACTGAGGAGCAAGTTTGATCCTCACTCGCTGTCCCATACAAAATTCAACATATAATAACCCATTAAGGGTTGACATGACGTAAAATCAACCACCCTAACTATTACTACTGAGGAGCAGGTTTGATCCTCACTCGCTGTCCCATACAAAATTCAACATAAAATAACCCAACAAGGGTTGACATCACGTAAATCAACCACCCTAACTATTACTACTGAGGAGCAAGTTTGATCCTCACTCGGTGTCCCATACAAAATTCAAAAATATAAAATAACCCAACAAGGGTTGACATCACAAATAAAATCAACCACCGTAACTATTACTACTGAGGAGCAGGTTTGATCCTCACTCGGTGTCCCATACAAAATTCAACATATAATAACCCATTAAGGGTTGACATGACGTAAAATCAACCACCCTAACTATTACTACTGAGGAGCAGGTTTGATCCTCACTCGGTGTCCCATACAAAATTCAACATAAAATAACCCAACAAGGGTTGACATCACGTAAAATCAACCACCCTAACTATTACTACTGAGGAGCAAGTTTGATCCTCACTCGCTGTCCCATACAAAATTCAACATAAAATAACCCAACAAGGGTTGACATCACGTAAAATCAACCACCTAACTATTACTACTGAGGAGCAGGTTTGATCCTCACTCGGTGTCCCATACAAAATTCAACATAAAATAACCCAACAAGGGTTGACATCACGTAAAATCAACCACCGTAACTATTACTACTGAGGAGCAGGTTTGATCCTCACTCGGTTCATCCCATACAAAATTCAACATAAAATAACCCAACAAGGGTTGACATCACGTAAAATCAACCACCCTAACTATTACTACTGAGGAGCAAGTTTGATCCTCACTCGCTGTCCCATACAAAATTCAACATAAAATAACCCAACAAGGGTTGACATCACGTAAAATCAACCACCCTAACTATTACTACTGAGGAGCAGGTTTGATCCTCACTCGGTGTCCCATACAAAATTCAACATAAAATAACCCAACAAGGGTTGACATCACGTAAAATCAACCACCCTAACTATTACTACTGAGGAGCAGGTTTGATCCTCACTCGGTGTCCCATACAAAATTCAACATAAAATAACCCAACAAGGGTTGACATCACGTAAAATCAACCACCCTAACTATTACTACTGAGGAGCAAGTTTGATCCTCACTCGCTGTCCCATACAAAATTCAACATAAAATAACCCAACAAGGGTTGACATCACGTAAAATCAACCACCGTAACTATTACTACTGAGGAGCAGGTTTGATCCTCACTCGGTGTCCCCATTTGATCCTCACTCAATTGACAAAAAATCAACATATAATAACCCATTAAGGGTTGACATGACGTAAAATCAACCACCCTAACTATTACAACTGAGGAGCAGGTTTGATCCTCACTCGCTGTCCCATACAAAATTCAACATAAAATAACCCAACAAGGGTTGACATCAAGTAAAATCAACCACCCTAACTATTACTACTGAGGAGCAGGTTTGATCCTCACTCGGTGTCCCATACAAAATTCAACATATAATAACCCATTAAGGGTTGACATGACGTAAAATCAACCACCGTAACTATTACTACTGAGGTGCAGGTTTGATCCTCACTCGGTGTCCCATACAAAATTCAACATAAAATAACCCAACAAGGGTTGACATCACGTAAAATCAACCACCCTAACTATTACTACTGAGGAGCAAGTTTGATCCTCACTCGCTGTCCCATACAAAATTCAACATAAAATAACCCAACAAGGGTTGACATCACGTAAAATCAACCACCCTAACTATTACTACTGAGGAGCAGGTTTGATCCTCACTCGGTGTCCCATACAAAATTCAACATATAATAAAAATCCCATTAAGGGTTGACATGACGTAAAATCAACCACCCCATAACTATTACTACTGAGGAGCAGGTTTGATCCTCACTCGGTGTCCCATACAAAATTCAACATAAAATAACCCAACAAGGGTTGACATCACGTAAAATCAACCACCCTAACTATTACTACTGAGGAGCAAGTTTGATCCTCACTCGGTGTCCCATACAAAATTCAACATAAAATAACCCAACAAGGGTTGACATCACGTAAAATCAACCACCGTAACTATTACTACTGAGGAGCAGGTTTGATCCTCACTCGGTGTCCCATACAAAATTCAACATATAATAACCCATTAAGGGTTGACATAACGTAAAATCAACCACCCTAACTATTACTACTGAGGAGCAGGTTTGATCCTCACTCGGTCCCATCCCATACAAAATTCAACATAAAATAACCCAACAAGGGTTGACATGACGTAAAATCAACCACCCTAACTATTACTACAGAGGAGCAAGTTTGATCCTCACTCGCTGTCCCATACAAAATTCAACATAAAATAACCCAAGGATTGACATGTCGTAAAATTAAGCAAAGAAACAAACTGCAAATCAAAATGAAATAGTTTATCAGTGGAGAGGATATGTAGTATTTAGCATTTTAGTACTGCTCAGCTACAGTTTGTCCTATATCCACTGAGTACTACCTGACCCATGGATTGAATTCACGATTAACATGTCAGCGCTTGGTTATTCTTCTAAACGATAACAGGATTTGAATGCAAGGATATACAAGATGCTTTGAAAAAATGTCTTACTTCTTTTATGACCGTCTCTCTTCTTTATAAGCCGTGTCCCTTCAGAACGTGCGCGATTAATACTCTCCACAACTCCCTTTCCTTTGTAGCTTTTAGTCAAATTTTTTTTTTTTTTTTACAATCCTTCCCTCTGCCTGATATCTGTCACCCATTTATACAAGCTTGGTAAGTTGGTTAATTGATGCCTCCTTTTTGTCCCTCTTAACTTCAATGGGTCCTGCGCAGTCACAGTTGAGTAATGGATAGAAATGGTTTGATTCCGATCGAGTTCATTCTATTCAGTTACGTATGAATTCATCTAAAGCTATGGGTAAATAGTAGGACAGATTGGGTGGCAACCGATGTCAATTCAATATTTGAAAGCCTAGTGTACGGACTGAAGGCAACCCACACGATATTCCGTGGTCGTCGGCTGTCGGTAAGTGGAGATATGTGCCGCCAAGTTCTCTGAAAGCCCACTGAAAAGATTATGAGGAAGAAGGATCAATGCCCGTTTCTTTTGCTCTCAGCCCCCACCCCACGACGAGTGAAATAGTCGAGTCTTAAAAAACATGTCTTGTGGGCATCAAATTCTCCAAGTACTATTTCCTCATTATGTGTTCCTGAAATCTTAACTGTCTCTTTCTATGTGCCCTTTTTGCTTCCACTTTTCTTAAAACGCCCCAATTGCTCCCATGCTCCGTTCATGGTATTCTCAGCATCCTTCTGTAGAACTATATCTCTGTTGCATCAGATCTAGCAAGATATGTTTGCTAACCATTGCACAACGTCGAAGTGCCCCCTGTTATTTATCCATAGCTGGGGGAGAAGTGAAATATTAATGGAATCTAAGTGGAATTCGAACCCAATTCTTCGATTCCTCAAGTGGAGCTATTGTCCATCATTCCACCGTGTCTTCGAACGTGTGGAATAATATAAAAAGGGAAAAAAGAAATAAAATTGTAACAATTCAAAGAAAGAAAAATTCAGAAAAACAAAGGAAGAAAAATGAATTAAAATATGAATTATATTAATTAATTTAGAGGAAAGAATTTTTTAAAAATTTCGTTTTTTTTTTTTAAATTGTACTAAATATTTTATTATGGAAATCAGAAAAAATCACAAAAAATATAATAGATAATTATTCCTAGAATTGAAACGAAAAAAAGTTCTAACAGAAGTTTTTCAAAAATAATACTTATTTTTGGTAAATTGTTAAATTTCCAAAAACAAAAAAATTCTTTGGAGTCAAAAACCAAAGTTACCAATGTGGAGGATTGCCGGTGCCAGGAAAACTTCTTTGATCTTATCCGGTTCCAGATTTTCTCCCACCACGTCTCTCGCCATTCCCTACAATTTTCCGCTCCTCTTTACTCAGTGGATAAAACCGACGTTATCTCCTTGGGAGGGCATTCCAGTGTCTTTTGGCAGACACTGGAATGCCCTTCTCACCTCTTTAGATCGCTTTACCTGTTTTGTATACATTTGTTGGGCTTTTCTTTACCTTCTTATCTTACCGTGGCTTTTGTAACCTTTTTCTCTTTACTTTCTCTTTCTTTCTTTCTTTCTTTCTTTCTTTCTTTCTTTCTTTCTTTCTTTCGTTCTTTCACGCTTTCTTTTTTCTTTGTATTCCACACTCTTCTCTATTCCCGTTCTTTCTATTTCCTTTTTTCTTTCTTTATTTTCTTCTCTGTTTTCACCCTCTCTGTTTTACCGCAGCGAATTTCCATTTTTATCAAACATTTTGACGTGTTTTTCTCCATTAATTACTTCCTTCGATATATCTTCCTGTCTTTTTAAAATTTGTTTCTACTCACTTCCTCACCTCGTTACAAAAGAATTTAGCATTTTCTTTCTCTGTATTCTTCCATTATGCCTTTTAGTCTTTCATTTTCTTTCTTATATACTCTTCATTTTCTTTCCATTCTCTTTTCCTTTTTTTTCTTTTTTCTCTTTTCTCCTCTATTTCTTTTTTCTCTTAACATGTCGGTTTTCTTTCTATTTCCCTTTCCTTCATTTTTCTTTTTTTAATCATTCTTTTCTTTTTTAAATTTCTTTTTTCCTATAAGCTCGAAGTTTTCTTTCTATTTCCTTTTCCTTCTCTTTCCCTCTTTTTTCTTTCTCTTCTCTTTTTATTTCTTTTTTCTTTTATACTCTCCGTTTTCTTTCTATATTCTTTTTCTTCTTTTTCCTTTGTTCTCTTCTCTTTTCCATTCCATTTTTCTTTTATTCTCTCGGTTTTCTTTCTATTATCTTTTATTTCTCTTTCCCTCTTTTTTCTTTTTGTTCTCTTTTCCATTCCATTTTTTTCTTTTACCCTCTCAGTTTTCTTTCTATATACTTTTCCTTCGCTTTCCCTATTTTTTCTTCATTCTCTTTTCTATTCCTTTTTTCTTTTAATCTCTCGGTTTTCTTTCTATTTTCTTTTCCTTCACTTTCCCTTTTTCTCTTCTCCTTCTCATTTATTTTTTTCATTTAAGTTCGAAGTTTTCTTTCTATTTTCTTTTCTTTCTCTTTTTCCTTTTTTTCATTGTTCATTTCTCTTTTTTATTTCTTTTTTCCTTTAAGCTCGAAGTTTTCTTTCTATTATCATTTCCTTTTCTTTCTTTTTTTTCTTTCTCTTCTATTTTCCATTCTTTCTTTTTTTCTTTTATCCTCTTGGTGTATCTATTTTCTTTTCCTTCTCTTTTCCTTTTTTTCTCTTCTCTTTTCCATTTCTTTTCTTCCTTTAATTTCGAAGTTTTTCCCTCTTTTTTCCTTTCTTTCTTTCTTCTCCTATGTTTCCTTTTACCTTTTTTTATTCACTCGGAATTCTTTCTTTTGTTTATCTTTTCCTTTTTTCTTCTCTCTTTTCTTTTTCATATCTTTTTTTATACTCATTTTCGTGAATCATTTTTCCTTTGCTTCTTTTTTCCGTATTTTTTCTTCCTCTTCTCCTTTTTTTCTTTTCGCCTTTTCCAGGATCTTTCTCTATTTACTTTAGCTTCTCTTTCCTCTTTTTTTCTTTCTCGAATCATTTTTTTTTTTTTTCATTTTATGGGTTAATTTTATCTTACCCTTTCCTTCATTTTTCTTTTCATTTCTCTTTTCCTTCCTTACCTCACATTCATTTTTCTTATAATTTCTTTTATTCTTTTTATCACCTTTCTCTTCTGTCTTTCTTTTTTCTATCCATACTTTTCAAAAACTTTTCCTTCCATTTTCCACGGTACTACGTATCATTATTTTCATCGTCCTTTATTTTTTCTCATCTATCTTATTTCTTTTCTTTAGTTTCGATCTTATTTTCATTTCCTTCACTTTTTCTTATTTTTTTCTACTTGTTACTTTGTCTTTCTTTTTTTTTTTTTTGTTACGTTTTATCTTTTTTCTTTATTTCCTTTCTTTCTTTCGTTTTTTACATTGTCCCATTCTCAATAAATGCTGTCTTTCTTGCGTTCATTCGTCACTTTTTGTTCACATTTATTTTTCATCCTCAAATTCTATTTTTGAAATTTTTCCGAACGACCAGAGACTTTTTCTTTCGAAAAGCCACAAATAGCGCGGAGACGTACACGTATGCGTCTAGATGGCACAAGAAATTGTCCATAAATTGTCACACATATATATATATATATATATATATATATATATATATATATATATATATATATATATATATATATATATATTTCTACCCACATTTCTCACCCACACAAGACAGACTTGCTTCCGCAGGTGTTGAGGTCTCACATTTATACACACACCCATACTAATATATGCACTTACACACATTATACATACCCCATAGACCTAAAAGATGACATACTCTTAACACACACACATCCTCTTCCCAGCAACAAATAACACCGTCAAAATGACCAAGAAGGGAATTCAGAGACACATGAATCTCCCAGCCTCTATCTTAAAAACAACTTGAAAAAGTCCGTTTGACCAACACATGGACTGACCAAAATTAACAATAAAAAAAAACAAATGGAAACTACAGATGAAGTTCATTTTCTTAAAAAAAGTCATTCATTCCCGCAGTTCACTGCAACTAAGAAGCAGACATTTTTTCTCCTGATGATGACCATGCTGACCGAAACTAGTCGAGGAATCTAATGGAAATAAGAGAAACGAAAAAATATTAATATACAACCAAGTGTGTCTGAAAATTTTAATTTTTAAATATGTTTTATTGTTCAAAACACGTATATATATTAATAAATATACTTATTACTTACATCAAAAGTACTTATAATGGTGACCGCATACATGTATGCTTTATATATATATATATATATATATATATATATATATATATATATAACAATTTATAGACAATTCATTTTAAACCTTAGTTATCGCGAATTTGTGGAAGTATCTAATATATATATATATATATATATATATATATATATATAATTGTGTATTTAGGCAGCAATCCTTCATTTATGCATGATTCATTAAAAACGACAGACAAGATACTATGGTTAACCATTTAATTTTTCTTGTGTTCGAACAAGTGCTTTTTTTATACAGAATGTGTAGAAACCGTTCAAATGTTTTATAGTTCCGAGCGCTTTTGGCTACAATTCTAGCCATTATCAAGGATGATTTTATTTTTCAGTTTAATTGAGTGTGTGCGTTATGTGTATGTCTTTAGTGTGTTATAAAAAATAATAAAAAATAAAATAAAAATAATAAAAAATAAAATAAATACAAAATAAAAATATAATAATATATATAAAAATAATAAATATAAAAATAAAAAAATAAATGAAAAATAAATAAATAATAAAAAAGAATTAAAAAAGAATAAAAAATCAAATTAACTACAGCTAACCTTATCCTCAAAAATAACAACACACCAGCTAAGTCAAAATTACAAAGAACGAACATTATCTATGAGTTCAAATGCCCCTTAAGGAAATATGTTCCTGATCAAACCGAATTCATAAATAATTACCTCGTTCGCACAACTACATGCCTATCCAGACGCCTTACCTTTTACCTATCTGACCATAGCTCTATTAGAATTCATTTAAGCACACACACAAGCTTACCAGACTCCATTCAAAACATACTAGTAGAAAACACAATCATAATAACCTCACCCACCTGTAAAAAAGATTTAAAATAATGTAAGCCCTAATAATAAAAAAGATAAAGCCAACTCTTAACAATATTAACTACAAACAAGGCCACAATGTACTAACCGTGTTCGGAAAATAAAATGTCTAGCATGAAACAGCCTGTCGCCTCTAAGTGTTGACTTCAATGTCCACTTTTATATTAACACACGCTCTATCTTTGTTATTAAGCACTTTATCCCATAAATATAGCACACTTTAAGAGTATATTTCTTCATATATATATATATATATATATATATATATATATATATATCCAGGTACGATGAGAACGAATAGATTACAATTCTAACGTTCGTAACATTTAATTTAATTTAAAAGAGGACTCAATACAGAGTAGAGCAATATTATTGATTTTAGGATATTACATCGAGAATATGTAAAAATCGCTACACATCTGCAGTCGTGTTTCAATGCGCAATGTATTTTTGTCAAAAAATCTAATGATTTCGAGTTTTTCATATAAGCACAGAAAACAGGGTTCATATAAAGATCAACATGTTCTTTCATTTTTTTAAATTTTTCATTAAAATTCCTTATTAAATCAAAGTAGTGAATTAACAGTAAATTGTAAGCATAGTTTACCTTTTACCTTACAATTTAGTTAAACTTTGGAATTTGATAATGCTTTTTCTTATATTATAGTTGTACTGCATTGCAATGTATATATGGCTTATCTTTCCATTTGCAAGATTAATCTGGATTTAATATAATTTTGCATTAATTTCCTGCTAGTATTAGTAACATCTTGTATAGACATATTGATATTTGATTGCTATTTTTGGTATTTTACATTGATTGGTTAGTGTTCTTAACATCTTATATGAAGGATATTTGTTTGCATATTAGGTTACCAAATAATTCTATATGTTTAAATTATTTACTTGTTTCTTAACATCTTTATTTATCAACTATAAAAAATATATAGAATTTACAAAAGATATTTGCATTGTTGGTTTGTATAATTTATGTATTAGGTTTATGTCTGGCTGCCGATATCTGTCAATTTGTGGATCATGACTGATTTATAATAAATAGTTTTAAATTTTCACTTATTCGCTTAGTTTAAAATTAACGTCCATTGGGCTTAAAAGCAACAAACCTTATAACCCGCACAATTTCTTCTTTTTTTTATAAAAATAGGTTGTATTTTTTCTTTTAAATCTGTATAAATTGTTCCTTCCCAGTAATTTAAAATCGCCTGATGAGATGCATTGAAACACGACAGCAATTGTGTAGCGATTTCAAAATGTTTTCGGCGTAATATCTTAAAATAAATTATATATATATATATATATATATATATATATTTGATATATATATATATAATATTTGTGGGAATATATATATTAGGTACCTCCAGAAATATATTATATTATATATATATATATATATATATATATATATATATATATATTTGCGAATAGATGTGAGTTTGTTAGCTCTATGTCTGATATTGAGCGTTTTTCTAATAAGCTTGGAATATAAAATAATTATACATATATATATTTATTTATATTTATATACACTTTTCACACATATATATATATATATATATATATATATATATATATATATATATATATATATATATTAGGGACTGGCGTCGTCCCCCGGTCGCAGCGCCGACTGTGACGTTCTATCCTGATCTACCACGGCGCCAGTTGTGACGTCCCTAAACAGCACCAATTGCCGTCTTCCGCGGCGTCAGCTGTTCGCTCCTCGCCCTTCCGTCCGGGTGTCGCTGCTCCAAACGTGACGTTCTAACTGGTGGGGCTGGTTAGATTGATACCAGCTTCGCCGTTCCCAACCTGCTTCCAACGCCTGGTTACCAGGGTAACTGCACTGATCTCCAGTCTGCCTACCCACGTTGTCTTGATCTTAGGCACAAACAGGGGTTGGGGCCGTAATGCAAGCCGAGTTCAACGGGGTGATAACACATTATGTAAAAAAAATGAAAACTCACAAAGTCCAAAGTATCAAAGAAAAAAGGTAACAAACCTTTATTTTGTTCTCATTTCTGACCCGTTCTGTGGATTGTGGCACGACGGGAAACTTTTCACGCTTCAAGTTGTCTGCTTTCTAAGAAATTTTGTTTCGGGTGTCTTTGGACGAAAAGTCGAAAAACTTATTTCTGTGGTCTGTTCTAAGTCGCTCTTCAAACTACTTGTTCTTGGTCGAAGAAGAGTCAAAAAGTGTGCGTGAATCTTGGTCAGCTATCTTGATGGGGCGTCTCTGCCTGCCGTCCAGGGCTCAACTAAACTTCTTCTCCCGAGTCTTTACTTCGCCGGTAACTAACGCCAGCTTGGATCAACGAACTTCTTCCTCCAGGCGTCAAACGAACTGGCCTCTTCTGCCAGTGCGAACAGGCTCTGCCCGCCGTCCGCGGCTCAACTCCGCCTGGTCCGCGGCTGAACTGATTTCTGTCTGGTGGGGCCGTTTTTATTGACGCCGTCAAAACTGGGGTGGGTCTGTCGGCGATAATTCTAAATACGTATCCACCCTTCTCATCTGGTTAGGGATTTTTCACTTTCCATTTTTGGCTCTTTCCTCACTCCAACTGACGTTTCTGAGGGGTAAACACCAACTTCCCCACTTCTTCGTATCGGCTTCTCCTTATACTCTGGATAGAGGCGTCGACTGTTCGTGCGTCACGTGACCGCTCTCGGCCAATGAGGTCCTGGTCGAGGTATCTTTCCTCCTCCTTCGTGCGTCATGTGATCCACTTGGCCAATGACGTCTTAGTCGGGCGTGAACAACCCGTGGCTTTGTTTTGGGAAAGAAATACCTTGCTTACCAAAAAAAAAAATTAATTAAATCGCCCTTATCATGAGCGGCCGAGGTGACAACCCTCGGTTGTAACACGTGGCGTTTGTCAGGCAGTTTATCGCTAATTGGACATGATCTAAGAAAGAAATTTTCCTAGCCTACCTGGCGTCTCTAAAGCAAAAATAAAAATATTTCATTTTCCTTTCGGCCCACTTGTTGATAACAAAAAATCTTTATTATCACAGGGCAAACGTTTATTCTGTCAAAAAACTTAGCCAGTGAAAACTTCTTGTGTGGGATTTTAATTCTTTACCCAGGGAAGACTGTCTGTGTTTCGTCAATGTTCAACAATGGATTTCTTCTTTTGGTGACATCCATAGATAACAAAATTCCATTTTTCGTGGACAAACGGAAATCGGTCAACGCTTGTTCGTAGGTGACCTAGATATTTTCGACATCTGATACCTATCCTCCTCATTTCCGTCTCTTAAGCCGTGTGTGTGTGTTCGCCTATGACCCGTCTGGTATTACTTTTTCTTTCTTTCTTCGTTTTCTCTTTCTTTCTCCCAAATCGCTTGAATGCAAAGAAAGAATTATTCTTAAAACCTAAAATATTTTTCGGCCTTAAATAATTATCAAATGGTTGATAAACCGTAAAAAAAGCAAATCATATATCTATAAATATTTCTTTCAAATCGTCAGGATGCATGGTGCCACAAGGTTTAAAATGAATTTTTATAAAATGAAAAATCTTTCTTGAAACTTTTATTTTAATTTTAATCTAAAGTAAATCGAGATTAAATTTAAATAAGCAAAATATTTTGCTCTCTTTATAAACTAATTTCAATTGACTGGAATGAGTTTTTTTTGGGGGGGGTGCTAAAAAAATTGATTTTAACACTATTTTTAGCCCCCCTTTATTTCAATATAATTCTGTTTATTAAAATCTTCCAAAAATAAAAGGTATTTTTCTGAAACTTTATATGAGGAATAATAGCTTATTAAAGTATAATTAATCTGATTTGAAACAAATATTATTTAATTTAAGCTTAAAATATCACAGAAATGCATTTTAACCCGTCAGTAACAGTTTACTTAAGGATATTGACTTGCTGACAGCGTGATGACAGATCTAATGTTGTTCTACGGGGAATTTATCTATAAAACATAATTTTAAAATATGACGTGAGCGTTTTTTCTATATAATTTCTAAGTACACAGTAATCTTAAAATATTAGGAAAATATTCTCCGTAAATTAATATTTTACTGAATTTTAGAATTTTTGTAACATTATTGAAACGTTTCTACAATCTTTACAATTGGATAAAAAAAATATTCAGACAAACTGTCGACACTATTTTACTTCAACTTTAACTAAAAATCTTGTCCATTTGTTAATGGACAATATTTTTTAGTTGAAGTTGTTCAGAAGGCTATCTTAAGATGTATTAGGTTGGTGCAAAAATAATGACGTAATAATGTCGTTTTTTGACGTATTTTTTAAGGTCAAAAAAACGACATTATTACGTCATTATTTTTGCACCAACCTAATATTATCAAATATCTGACGCAATCCATATATTTATGCGTGTGTGGATGTTTGGGAATTAAAAACATTGTGTATGGTTGAACAGCTTACGCACGATTTGCAACCAGAATCCTTGAAAATGGCTAATTGACTGAGATTGGCTTGGAAATAATAATCATTTGTCCAATTTCTAAATAAACTAAAAGGGAATCGCTTCTTCGCAGACAAGAAAATACCCTGAAAAGTAAGGAAATTAATTTATTTCTAATGCATTTTTCATTGAAAATAACTGATTATTTTCATTGAAACATGCATTAGAAATAGATTACTGTCCAAATAAACTAGAATTATAATATCTGGTGGGCATTTATCACACGACATAAAGGGTAGCTCTTGTTTGGCCAAAATCCTGTGATTTGGTGTTGAGACTGTAGTGACCTCTCCAGGGGGTAGACCTGTAAGATGGTATTTGGAGACCATTTCAGTATCTACTATAAGTACTCTGTCATCTGCGTATTTTATGTTGTTAAGATTGTGGCCGCCAATGCCATTGCGCTAAAAATATTCTTAAATATATAAATGAAGAGTTAATTTAATTTGTTTATAATGTCATTAAAATGAACACACACACACAGACATATATATATATATATATATATATATATATATATATTCCGTCTTGTAGTTTATGCTTAGTCCTTTCTTCTCACTCTCCGTCGCTACCTTCTGTAGGAGATTTTGTAATTTCTATTCAGTGTCTGCTATCATCACTGTGTCATCTGCGTATCTTATGTTGTTAAGATTGTGGCCGCCAATGCTAAATCCCAGTGGGGTTTCCCTGACGTATTCGGATACTAACATCAATGTGCACAAGGAAACCTTATCTGCATTCTCGATATGTAAGTAGCAGAATAGGCAGGGAAGATCGAAACGACACATTACCATTATTTATTTACATTTAATGTTGTATATTTATCATACATTATGTTTATCTAAACTAAGAAAATCTCGGACAGAATTTATTAAAAATTGCACAACATATCTGTACTACCAAATGATGTGATCGCAAATTAGAAACTTATTAATATTCGTTACTAAATATTTCTTATCAATATATCAGTAGTTGTTTTAAGCCTGCTGTACTTGATATAGCAGAAAGTAAGTAGACCACACATTATATATATATATATATATATATATATATATATATATATATATATATATATATATTTCTGTAGTTCACTGCTATCGGCAAGCAGAAATATTTTTCTCCTGATGATGGCCATTTTGGCCGAAACTAGGCGAGGAATCTAAATGAAATAATAAAAAAAAAACGAAAGAATATTAATCTACAACCCAGTGTGTCTTAAAATTTTCATTTTTTGATATTTTTATTGTTCTCTCTCTCTCTCTCTCTCTCTATATATATATATATATATATATATATATATACTAGTAACAATCTTATAAGTATAAGAAATTATACTCATCCGAAAACCTTCGGTGTCTTGATTTTATGTTTTATGTTTGTAGGCTATATATTCCGTTCTTACGTCACCTATTTAGCCAGCTTTCTCTGACGATGAGAAACCTTAGGTGAAACCTTGGTAGATTCGCCTGGCTCTAGGTTTAATTATATATATATATATATATATATATATATATATATATATATATATATATATATATTAGTGTGTGTGATGTCTTATACAAGGATCATAACATTCATCAAGTGATTTGTAGGTTAATGCACATTTAAAATTTTGTTAGCGAAGGGATTTCGCCATTTTATATCATTAACTTTACTAATCTACTTTTTGTATGAATGATGTTAGCTCTATCTCTGATATTGAGCGCTTTCTAATAAGTACCGCGCATATAATATATAAATAATTATACATATATATATATTTATTTATATTTATATTCACTTTTCATGATATATATATATATATATATATATATATATATATATATATTTTTTTCCAGTAAAAAATATTAAAGAATTAAAATCTTCAGACACACTGGGTTGTAGATTAATATTCTTTTGTTTTTTTATTATTATTTCATTTATATTCCTCTTTTAGATGTACTATATATATATATATATATATAGTACAGGTAATAGATACATTGGTACATAATCCAGGCAACTGTAACAGCATCACATCAATCCACGAATTCCTTCAAATTTAAAAAAAATATAAAACTAACCCAATGTATATTAGCGTCCCTCGACGTTGTAAATGTTGACCATGTTTGCCGTAGTCTCTGAATATAGAATCCAGTGAAATCTGTAATGTGTTCAATATCAGAGGTTAGCAGTGAAGGTTCAGATTAAGTAGCGGCTGTTAAGTAATTCTTTAAGTCTTCGATATCAGGTTGGCAGTGAGGATAATTTGGGAGAAAAAACAAAATGGCTGCCTTTATAAACATCGGATTGAATATTTTGAGCTTTCTGATTGGTTAACCCTTCTATCGGTGAACTATAAAATGAGTCAGCTCATTTTGACTGGCTCACTAGTACAGAATACACAAAAAACTGCAACAGTAAATTTATTCACAAACGTCCCTGTTGATCAAGCTATTGACATAATCCGTAACTCCGGGTACACAAATCATTCTATTCCACTTCCATCCATCAAACCAAATATCCTCAAAAAAGTATTACCTTCATGCACAACTAAAGTCCCCTTTTACAGCCATAATGGTAAAAATCTACCCCCAAATTAATGGTGTTAGTATGGAAAAACCGCTTGAACGGTGCTTCTCCAATTACTACATATTACACTTAGAAAACATGATATTTAAACTAGTCACTAAACCCAAAATACATGTCCGCTACCTAGATGATATTTTTATTTTAACGAAAAATAAACAAGAAATAATCTATAATCCATATTTTAAAAAAATCAAGTCCTTAATTTTGCCTATGAACTAAGCCAAAAAAATAAACTTCGATTCTTCGACGTTCCCGAAGAATACAGTAAGAACAGTTTCACCACCTCATTATATATAAAAAAAAACCACTAGCACAGATATTCTCAACCAGGGGTAAATTTACCCCTAGGGGGTAAAAAATTATATAGTCGGGGGTAAATAATTGAAGTACCTGAT